AAGAAAGTAGTGGGGATAGGTGTAGCGGATCCATTCATGCAACCAACGTACACAGCGCGGAAGGTGCAGGCGGAGAGTAAAGCAGCCCAGAGCCTGATTGGCCGTTGGCGGGTGCAGACTACTGAACACTAGTCCGACTACTGCAGCGGCGGCGTGCCGCTGCCTACTGCAGCTGTCGCACGCCGCATGTGTGACAACGCCGGTGCTGTTGACTACTAACATAAAGTAGTAGACCGCCGGGATGTCTCCAGTCGGAGTCACGTGGCACGAATGAATATTTGACTTCTTGTTTAACGAGGCAATAGATTTGAAATAAACGTCTTTGCGATGCTCGCGTTGTAATCGACACGACACGGCAATTCCCGATTATTTAATCCTGATGATACAAGCTTTGTTCTCTGCCATGTGATATAATGTTCTAAACGATATGTATGTTCAAGAAATGGTACTTTGACTTCGGAATTAGAAAACCAAAGGGTCCAAGAAGAGATGACAAGTAAAATCAAAAAATCAAAGGAAATAAAGATGACAAATATCGATGTATATCCAGATGCGAGAAGTAAATATCTCGTGTGTATTTAAATTTAGAGCAACTATATCTTGGAACTTCAAAAGACTATTTCAGTTTCTTGTCTTCTTCATTGGCTCGAATGGTCAGCTATTAAAAGATGATGGTTACATCATCAGAAAATATATAAAGAACTTCCAACTTAAATTAATAAGAAAATGATTTTTCATGTTGCTTAATTACGGATCATTCAAATCTATGAAATTAAGCTGATCAAAGTCGCGTGAACTTTGCGTGAAAGATGAAAACTCAAGAAACAAGAACTCCGGAGTTTCGTTTGCAGTTTGCGCGGCGCAAATTTGGGTACGAACAATCACGCGTGAAAACATCGACAAGACTTGGTGGCGCGTCCGCACTTGTCAGCCGCGCGCGCTGCTAACAAGATTGCAGGGCTCGCTTCTCTCGAGGGAGAGAGAACGAGAGCGCGGGCGAGAGAGTGAGAGGGGGGGAGAGGGTGGGAGGGAGAGGAAAGCGAGACTCAGGAACCACGTGGTGGCTCTCGTCAGCGAGGCCGGGGCATGAATGAATGAACGTACGTAGTACGCGATACGGAAAATGGTGGTGGGGCGTAGGGACCAATGCCGATACGCGCGGTGTTGGCCGTGCGGCAAAACGCTGCTACTCCCTGCTTCTTGCAGACGCTCGCGGACTGCCAGACGCAATGGAACATTGTAGCAAGCGCGGCGCGGCGCGACGTGACGCGCCACGCCGCCCGCCGTGCCGCGTCGAGAGAAGTCGCCGGTACTGGTGAAGGCCCCCCCTTTTGACAATCCAGATCGCCGATTCATCCCGGTGCAACTGATCCCAGCAACCTCCGATTCGTTAATTACAATAGGACTAGTACGATTGTGCAATCAGGATTGAGTGCGTCCCGATCAAACGAGACCATCCAAATCCAATCGCGCGAACCTGTGCCATTCAATAAATCTTACACACACACACACACACACACACACACACACACACACACACACACACACACACACACACACACACACACACACACACACACACACACACACACACAAAAGGTATCCACGAGTGACTGATTAAAGATATAATATCATAAAAAAGATTCGAGAATATTTTTCTAAGAATATCCACTTGTTTTTATAGCAATATATTTATATATTTCGTAAATTTAAAGAATATCGCACGACGACCTAACATGATGTTGGATAGCTCTGGCTTCTTGTTAAGAGGAAGCATATTTGCCAAAGTGCTGTTAAATCTGCAAGGATAAACTTACCGAAGATAAATTTGTTTAAGGCCGACACCGCTATTGATGCAACCGCTGGGCAAGTGAAATTGTTCACACAATGACGCCCATTCATTTCTGGTATTGACCTGCAACGAATAAAAACAGAAGACATGTAAGAATTATTGAATATATGAGAATCTCCGCAAACGCGGATTGACGGAGCTTGTAAAGTTAATTGCGTTTGATAAAACTGCTTAGAGATAATACGCTCGTGCATGTTATTTATAGCACTTCGACACTCTGTTATTTCAAGCTCAGACATTTTGAAGAGGAGAATAATTTAAGAAAATCTAGCATTGACTTTTATCGCGCCGAGATTTTTACGATTTCCTTCCCTATCAATGTCTACTTATAGGAATATATTTATGTATAAGAGAAAAACATGCGAGGTTTTATAGATTATTAAAAGAAGCTTGTATCGAGGGAGGCTTGTGTCGCATTTCCTCTTCTCCTCGAGGATTCCTCGCTCATCTCTTGAAAATATCTCTTGAAGAGAATTCCCCGTAGCGGCGGCAAGCGAGATAAAGCGGGACATAAATTTCTGCGGTCGACTAAAAAAATAAACGACGTTTCTCGGGTTGCGCGCCGCGCAGAGGAAATCCGTCCGCGAATACATGGCCCTGCTCTGGAAATCAGATCCTAATTTTAATAACTCTTTTTCGTTCATTTATACAGAATTTTTTTCAAAGATTTTGAAGCATCAGCAATCGGCATTTCGAGTCACGAGAAAAAGAACCATACCTAAATTTCCCGAAAAAATATTTGTCAAGAAATTCATCATTAAAATTGATATGCACTAATGCTTTTGATTATCATTTACAATATGACAGAAAAATTATCGAAAAATGAGTTGAATCGAATAAAGCGAGATCCACATTTCGACATGGAAATAAATGTTTATTGCATCCCGTTTATTTTTGCGAATTATGCGCGCGGAAGGCATTCGCGTTTCGCTATTTTCTCTTTGCCGTACGTTGCATGCCAAAATCTTTGCGATAAAATTTATCATCCATTCGTTAACGCAAAAATATACACAAGAAATAAAAATACAAATATCGCATTTTAAATAAATCCTCATTTTTCAAATGTATGTAATGGTGCTTTCATTCTTAATCGATCACGTAGATTCATAACATTTGAATGTAGTGTGACAGAGACATAAATAAAATAGTCAAATATCCAATATATAATCATTAATACAGCAATTACAATGTCAAAAAAATGTGATTAAAAGTTAATAAGACGGAACAAATGGAAAGACCTCATACATTTTCCTGTCTCGACGACGCGCGAATCCGGATCTCCGCGCGCGTGGACTTGGCACGTGGCTCTACAGGCGTGACACGTGGCCACGCGATGTAGAATCATCGGCGGCAGTCCTGCGCTCTCAAAGTGCGCTCTAAGCGACAACGGCGGCGACGGAGCAGGAGAGGAAACGGAGGAGGAAGAGGAGGAGAAGGAGGAGAGCGATTGGGGGAAGCACAGGAATCGTGGTTCGTAAAATCAGCGACGGCCGAGCATACTGGGTCAGTGCTCCCTGGATCGGCGCCCGTGTATTCGCTCTATTCTGGTCGCCGTCGCTGCCGCCCCGTCGTCACCGTCGTCGCCGTCGCGACGCTCGTCGATGAATCGGGAACGTGGCGCCGCGCCGTGGACGACCGCAAACGTCCGGTCGTGCGCGTTGCTCGGTAACCAATGAGTAATAATAGTTGACGAGAGACAGGACGTGCGACGCAGTGTTACTATTAGGGCCATTTTCTCGCGCATGCGTATTATGACCAATAGTCATATCTAGGGCTGTAACATGACATACGTATATAATAGGCAAAATTTTGGCGGGCTCCACGCTAGGATAAGATAGGTTAAATAAAGTATTTAAATATTATTAATTGTTATTAAAGATAAATATTATTTATTATTTATTTAACATAAACATAATATGGATATACATAACCAAAAGGGAGCCATTAAAAAGCATGCTCGTAATTTTCAAATAAAATATTTTATTTTAAACACAAATGTATTTTATTATATACTTTCTTTCCTTATATTTACAAAAATATAACTTTGTTAAAAAATTAATATTAGTGTAGGTTATTAATATTAATTATATTTAAAATTCTATATAATTAAATAATTTTTATGTAATTTTTACAATTTTATACAATTGTATATAATTATAAACAATTTTATATAATATAAAAAATTTCAGTAAAAGACCAAATGATCTTACTTTTTTCTTCTAAATGTGATACTTCGATGAATCTGCATCTAAATACGCATGCGCGAGAAAGTGTCCCTGATGGCAACACTGGTGCGACGTGCGACCTGCACGACACATATTTTAAGAACGCGGACGCAAAATATCAATAATCTGCGAGATATTAACTTCACCGTTGAGAAGGAGGCGATAATCTCGCAGACGGAACATCGCCGTGAGCATTCGTGTCGCGGCGTACTTGCAACATTTAAAAAGCGTATCTCCTCGTTTACATAAGCAATTATATAGTCCAACTCCGCTTCATGCTTGCAAAGAATGGAACTAATCGGTGAGTCATGAGTCGTAAAGTGTCTGTGAATACGAGCGCACTGATCATCTGACTATATATATGATAAGACCTTCCCAACTCGTTTCTCTTCCCTGCACAAGAGAGGTATATTATACGAAGCGTATTAAAGTGCTCGCTCTCGTCTATAATCGTTATAACCCTGAAGAAATCTATGTCCGTTGACAAAAGGGAGCGGATAATCAAGCACGTTGAATTAACGCCAACGCTGATTGCATCCACCGATCGCGAACCAATGGATCTCATGGATGGATTTCGAGCTTGCAGGCTTGGAAGCGTACGAGCATACGCGAGAGGCGGCGTGGTGTGTTCTTTCCCGCCCAAGTTTGATCTACCGAGCGAGCGCAATCAGGCCCGGTACCATCGCCGTCACCACGAGGTCATAATCGTGCGACTTTGCTCGACCTTGATGCAGCAATGCGCGGTGCGTCGCGGCCCGACGCGACGCATGCGCGGCGCGGATCCGTTCCTCGGGAGCGTCGAACGACGTATCCACGTGGTTCGACCGGGTACCGAGGCACACTGCATGATGAAAGTGTCTTCGACACCACGTGGTCGTTGGGGTAGGACATGGTCCTTCTCTCTTCCTCCCTCCCCCTGTCTCTCTTTTGACGCCCGCTCTCTCCCGCCCCCTCCTCTCTCGCGGCTCGTTCGCTCGCGCGCTCGCTCGCTCTCTCTCCCCCCACTCTTTCTCATCGAACACACGTTGCCACAGCACACGCTGCGCCTATGACTTTTCCGCATCTTCCGCTTTTTCTAGCGCGCATCTGCAATAGAATTCGAGACATGAAATTGCAACGATCAGGGTTCGGTACCAATCCCGATCCAAGTGACTTCGTCCCTTGATGTCCCTGCGATTCCATTACCAAAACCGTAAACCCATCGCCAATATATGTTGCTTTTCTCAATTCTTTAACAAGATGTTTTCATATTCTCTTCAAGTAATCTCGTAGAGACATTAATCCATGGGACTGACGAAGTGTCAAGCGAGATTAAGTTCAGAGATTGTGCTACCCCGGGTGGAATCAGTTCTTCCCCCCTGTGGCTCATTGCTCCAACTGTTCATGCAATTCATCATCGTGTCGTTAAGACGTGTAGGGGAAGAAATTAATTCTGATACTTCCATGTAAGGAAATCCTCGCTCGGCAACAGAATTTGTGGGCTCACCTTACCATGTATGACGTTCATGTATGACGTTAACATGTGCGACGATTATTTATGCACAAACACGACGCGACATATACTATCACCCTTCGAATATATGCGCAATTATAAAGCGAGTGTCATTTGAATTGTAGACAGCAATGTTTTCTTAAGAGACGGTAATGATATTAAAAATAGTGATTAAAAATAGTGATGAAAAATAGTGAAAAGGTGACTTTAATTGATACGTTTCTTTTGAAATTTGTTTGAAATTTTATCTTCCCTCCATCATGCATGTTTTTAATTTGTTTTGTAAAGAAGCCTGGTGATTAAACGTAAAAAAATTTGAATATCAAAGTCTACTTCATAGTTTTGTTACGTAAAAATTAATGATTTTTATTTAAATCGAAATCGATTCAAATCCTAATAATTTTCTATAGAGCTCGAGACAGAGAGAGACAAAAAAAATGTTATCTAGAACTCAAGAAAAAGAAAAAATTTATGAGGACTTTATCAACTTTATATTAACATGTTAAGAATAGCGAATGCCTATTATAAACAAAAGTTAACAATTTTGTTATATCATCACGGAAATCATCGCTCGTTATATTATATACGCACTTTTGTAACAACTCATTCGCAGTTAATAATTATAGTGAGAATTGCGACGATATCGTTACTGAATATCGATGAAAGCGAAAGAACAATAGGTTGATTATCGCTGCTGAGTGCTACTAAACCGAGAATTTTAATCACTCGATAAAATCTCGCAAATTAGGATATTTTATTTCCTTAATGCAATTAACACGTGGTATATATATATATATATATTATTAAATATTGCAAAAATTTATCACTTTAATATTCCTCTATAAATAACTTCGTTACTCTGAGGAAAATGCCAGTCAGTAATAATACTATTATTCTCATTTTCTCTTTGCCAGAACATAAAGGAACAGAATCGATGCAAATGGCGTTTAACGAGATGTCGTAATTAGGAATATTGTATTTGTCAATTCGAGACGGCTAACCAGAGGATGTAACTTGAAAATTCATCCTTTTCCAATAGTTCCAATAGTAGCGATGTTTCATTACTAGCGAAATCGGATTACCACTTGCGATGTAAGTGGATTCTCCTTTTAACAAAATCAGCACGATCTTGCAGTAATCGTTAATTGCATTCACTGAAAATGCAAATGCTTTATTAACATGTTTTATTAACATTATTAACTACATAGGAAGTGGTTTTCTTACAAAATTCTTACAAAATCGAAAAACTGTAAGAAAACACGTTAGAACGAGTCGCGTATTTCGATGAGGTGATACTATTCTTAAATTGTAAAGAAATAACAATGCCTCACGAGTACATTCATTATCGTCAATTGTCTCTCGATTGCTGACTCACAACTCTCTTCGTGAGTATCACTGATTCGGTTTTATTCCACTGTATCTTCGTGACAAGCATCGGCATCGAAACGTGCGAATCCCGCGGCACTTAACGTTGCTAGCTTAGTGAGAACACTGCCTACCTTTAAACGTCATAGTAGCCGCATAACAATCTTGAAATAACCGCGAGTGGCGAGAGGCTATCGACGTTACTTCGGTGGAAACGAGTGACGTTTTGCCTGTGGGATATCTGCGAAGCTTCGCGATTTGTTGTCCCATCTTGGACGGCTGCTGCGCCCCGCGGAATCGAACGGAGTCGGTGTTCGCTCGTGGCGGAAGAGCCGCAGCGCGTGTCACGTGGGCTCGCAGGCCCACGGCTGGCGGCGACTGACAGTTCCCAGTCAGCTGATCGTCCACACTAGGGCGGGGAGGGAGGTTCAAGGGGACAGCAGCGGTAGCAGCAGCAGCAGCAGTAGCAGTAGTAGTAGCAGCAGCAGCGGTAGTAGTAGCAGCAGCAGCAGTAGCAGCGGTAGGAGGAGCAGGAGGTGGTAGTAGCGTATGGGGTAGGAGGGGGACACGAAAATCTAGAAGGGAAGGAGGACGGAGGGGTTGGCGACGCGCAGTCTACTGCCGCTGCCGACGTCGTCGTCGTCGTCGGCGGCGGTGGCGGCGGTAACGGTGAGTGGTGGCGGTGGCGGTGACGACGGTGACGGCGGTAACGGCGACGACGACGACAACGACGACGACGACGACGACGGCGGCGGCGGCGGCGGTGGTGGTGGTGGTGGTGGTGGTGGTGGCGAAATCAGCTGATCGGCGGAGGTGTGTTGGTGACTGACTGACTGTGAATGAACGCGCGGGGAACGGGCGAAGAAGTCTTCGCGTGCGTACTCACGTGCGGCGTGAGCGCACGACGGACGGCGGGGAGAGGGGGAGGGGGGACAACCCAGAGGGCGACGGCGGGAGGGAACGCGAGCAGTGTACAGATAGAAGAAGCAGGAGGGAGGAGGTGAGAGAGCGCGCGCGTGTGTCCGCCTGGCCGTGCGCCCGAGCACTCGCAAGGAAGCACGAGAGCGTCTGGTTCCTCAGTGCGGAAGCGCGGGAAAGTCGTGCGGAAGTCAGGCCGGCGAGAAGCGAATCGCCGGGAAAGCACGGCGCGGTCTAAAGTCAGTGTCCGCCCGGTGCACGTGTCGCGACGTGTCCGTGTCTTTCAACAACTTGGATGAAACTCCTGAAAGAACCTCCTCGCGGAAGCGACGGTTTTGTATTCATGAACTTGACGACAACTCCGGAGGAGTCAATCGATACGAGATGGCGATCTGTAGCTTGTAAAACCTACAGTGCAACCGATACGGGTTACGTAATCGACTTAATAATGACTCGAGACCTTATTGTGGATCATCTCCAGACATTTATTCTTGCGAAGTTAACGCACGCGAAGATGGTATAATTGAATCGACAATGCCGTTATTTATTTCTGCAAAGTGAAGGAATATTACGTTCGCCGTGTGAGGAACGCGGTCGTAAAAAAGTGGAATCCCTCGGTTTAACTTCCAGTGAACAGCGACGGATTTGCTCCGACAAAGAGCCGTCATTGTGCCGACGTGCTTGCACGCCAGGCAGGTTTATGCTTGAAATGCATCTTACGGCCCGCGTGTACATCTTTCAGAGGTGCGGATGATGAACGATGCATCGCGCATTCTCGTTCCGTGAAAGAGCTGAGTCTGCTCGGTTATATCGCGCGGCACATTGAAAGTTCACATTTTTAACTCCGCTGAAATTGCACTATCAATATCTCCGTCGAATATCCAAAGTATTCACGCGCACACCTTTTCTTGTTTCTCTCTCTCTCTCTCTCTCTCTCTCTCTCTCTCTCTCTCCCCCAGATAGAAATTTGCAGCATTCCTTTATATAGCCGCTAATCGCACATTGACACGCGCCTATATCCGTAATTACACCGCGAAAGTTTATATAATTACGTTTCTGCGTTGGGAAAATGCCACCTTGTATCAGCGCTGCGATAAAATGTCTCGTTTGTTAGTTGTCGTGCAATATACGACGGGTCGTCGGAGTGCCGAGTATCGATCTGGCCATAAAACAGGCAATCTTTTATCGCGCGTTGATGTATATATCGTAATATCGCGAACGTCCCCATAAATTCAAGCGGCAAAAGTACTCGGGTATTATCGTATACAATTACAATAATTTAGACTCTTCTGGGCGAAAATTCTCGCTGTGTGGATGTATTCGCCAAATCCGCCCCGTTATCGACGGTTGCAAATATATCGCCACGCAACGCAATCTCGTTTCGTGAACGTGATGCATGATGTTATGTAAGCCAGACGGTCATTAAGATCCAGGACGGGAATTCGCGATATCTTTCACTGCGCGATTAGACGTGTGATCTTTAGCAAACTGTTTTTATCCGAGTGTACCGTCACGTACTTGAATTTACTTTGAGTCATCCGGCGGCCTCGAAGCGAAAATACATTGGAGAGTCAGATTTTTTATGCCTGAATTTTATGTCCGCGCGCGGCCGGATATAACGTTGAAGAGAATAATACGGAGAAAGGATACGGAGAGAGAAGAAAGAGGGAGAACCTATTTCGTGCTCTAGGCGAAATTCTATTGGACCATTACGCGTCATGCATGAATGCGCGCGATAAGTAAACGAGAAAAGCAGGGGCACTGAAGGATATACGAGAAGATATAAAATAAGAAAAGATCTCTGTGCACATTTAAATTTTTTTTTTTTTAAATTTTAAGATACGCGTATGTTAACGGTGCTTCTCAGGTATCCCGTATATATCTGTCAAAATTAGTATGCTTTTACAGCTTGTAAGCATAGCTTGAAGCGGAGGGAAAAGACGTGGGCGCCGACGAATCGACTTACAAATTCATTCGGCGATCGAGCAGCCGATTCGCGGAACGATTCGATTTCGCCGTGATCGTCGATATGCGTCCTTGCATATTTATTGGCGGTTTCGTCATTTTCTAACATCGAAGCACACACGTGGTACCGCCCACTCCGTATAGAAAGGCGAACATACGGTTTTCACAGCGCCGATAAACCGATACGTTTTACATGTTTTCGCCTCGCCTTTTCGTCAATATCATTGATGCGTCATTTTTTCAATTAGAATTCTGACCACGCAGAACGCGTTAACGCGATAAAAGTTACACGTGTCATTCGTGACGTCGGTCGTTATAAGCGGAACTTTACTCCTCATTATATCTTCGGCGTGTACAAGCGTTCGCGGTAGGAAATCATCGCATATTATTTTACGAGAATGCAAATCACGCGCCGCGCGCATTTTTCCGCTTTTATCTGATCGCATCTCAAAAGCATTCCAACATTTTTTCACGCCGTTTACTGCCAGCATCGGCTACGTTTTCGCCCGAGCATTCGCGCCACGTTCCGCTGCGCCAACTATGATTTAGTCACAATACATATTATCTTCTGGGCACGCGAGCTTTGCCGCGGCATTCAGGAAAGCGGTCGCACGCATAAACGCGAATGGAATTACATCGTTAATGTAATTCGAGATGCGTAACCACGATTCTCGAAGAAAAGCAGTCATAGAAATTAATCTTCTGAATTGCGAATATATCGGCATTCCAAGCTATAGATATCTTTCAATATATTAACAATTTTTTTCTTCTTCTATAGCACTTCTCTAATGTCCGTATGCAGACTGCAAAAAAAGGAAAAAGAAAAAAAAAACGAAAAAAGAAACGTTCGCAAACGTTTGAATCTGGAGACGTTCGTAGAGCATCATCTCGTTGATGCGTTCCGGCCATTCTTTATTGCCTCAATTATTCGCGTTGGTTCTCCTTTGTTAATGGCTCGACAGGTTCGAATAAGGCGGCCGTTACGCCGAAGGAGTTGAATATGCGTTATATCAGGCATCCGCATTATATCGCTAAGTGGCGTGAAACGCGTACGTATACCAGCGGCGCGTTACGTGTGAACGGCGATGTAAAAGCCACCGCCGCCACCGCCGCCACCGCCGTCGTCGCGGTATGGAAAAAGCACGACGCGAAACGCAAGTTGCAACAACTCCGCACTTCGAGGGAAGAAAAGGAAATGAAAAAGAAATGGTGTGTCGTGTCGCGAGACGCGCCGGATACGAATTAGTGAGATTTAAAAGAAAAAAAATCATAAGATCACGATGCGTCTCTCAAGGGAGGTCGTAGCGTCTCACGGAACAGAAGAGTTTAGTAATTATAATTAACGTTAAGTGACGTTAGTCGACTAAAACCGACCTGAGCGTGACTTGATTTACAAAATCAAGATTACTTCACGTAACCGCGCAGGAAGAAAATAATAATTCGATTCGAGCGAGGCTGATTTATTTCTAGGACGGGCATTCGCGGATCAGAAGTTCGATATCACGACGGAACGACGAGCGTTAAAAAGGCAACGTAAAGAGAAATACGTATAAGTAGATTTTTATTTACGTCGCGTAATTATCGCCGCGCCCGTCATAAAAATGCCCACTTCGACGATGGCTAATAAAGTCTCTGGATTTATGTCTGGCGTATCTTCTCTCTCTCTCTCTCTCTCTCTCTCTCTCTCTCTCTCTCTCTGCCGATGCTACATAATGTAACCGGACGTTAGACTTAACACGCACAGTGTCTAGTTGACATCAGGTCCGAGACTACTTACAAGTCACCGTCGTCTCTCGTCATGCGTTTAACCCTTTTAAAATGTCTTTCTTCGGCAAATAAAGCATCTTTCTTCATCAAACGAAAGTCGTTTCCTGCGATGCGATAAACAAAATCTCACCAAAGAGGAAGCACGAAGGAAGGAAAATGTTAAAAATGTCAATGTAATGTTTCGATAACGTAATCTTTAAACATTTTTCATGTCACATTACGAACAGTTAAATATATATATGTTAAATGACATTGTTATTAATTTTCCAGGTAATAATTTTGCGAATTTAAGACATTTTGCACATTAATTAACTGTACACGGCAATATGTAATTAACGTCGAAGATGCTGATTTCCTGTAGCGCATGGAGATCTCGGAAGTTCTCAACAGCTATATCGTGCCACCGTTAATATTACTGTCGACATTTACGAGCGAAATGGACGGGCGAGTCGCATCTCTCGGATATTTAAGTAAGCAATTCGCATCGCCACGTTGGTCGGTATATCTACGAGAATATGCGGGTGCCAGATCGTTGTGCAGCCGGTCTGTACGCCCCGGTTGTCGCAAAACACAATGGGTGCATATTCTTTTCCGTCCAGGCTTCGTGGCTTGCGCATTGCATAACGCAAACTAATCTACGAGAGCTGTAACACGAGCGAGTTATCATCGTCGGCAGACTTAAATTATTGCGGCACTCGTCGCTCGGATGGTTCATCTATTAAAATCATCTTTTCGAAGCGCGCAATATAAGAAGAAATATTAAATATGTAAGACATTCCATAAAATTATATTTTTATAAAAACGGCTATTAAAAATTGATTTTTTTTTTTCTTAAAATTCAGAATACTTGAGCTTACAGAGTTTCGAGTTTAAAAAAATTCAATCGTGCCTGCGAATCACCTTGTCACTGCTGCGAGTTTTGAAAGTGTGAGAGAAAGAGGTCCGCAAAATATGCGCGCGTCGTAAACGGCCGGGAGAGATGGCCCGCGATGTACGGAGAGCAAAGAGGAAAGGTGCAGTGACCTCCAAGTGCTGCAGCTCGTGCTCGAGTGATGGCTTACCAACTGGTACCGTCGGCCAAGGCCATTAATACCAATGTCTTTTACGCGACGGAGGCGGCGGGCAGCGCGTGAAAGAGAAGGAGGAGGAATCGAGAGGATCGCGCGCGGGTTAGGGGCCCTGTCGATGGGATTTGTCGGAATTCGTAATTAACCCACGCGATTCGAACGGCGAATCCTAATAGGAATTCACAAAGCTCAAGTCGCACGAACGGATCTGTATGCGGAGGAAAAAATAACGGTGGCTCTTTCTGGGGTAGAGATCCATTATAAAAAACGAATATTCGTTAAAAAATATTTCCAAAGAATTAAAATGCATTTTTTTTTATTGTAAGATCAGTCATAGGCTGGTTGAAAGATAACAATGTACTCATTAACAATATACCTTGTCAACCTCAACCAGATAGTCGCATATGCGTTGGTATTGTTAACGAATTTATATAACGAATGTATCAACGAATCTATTGAACTTTTGCGAAACGAACACTGGATTCGCAACACTGATCCTTTTTTTTTTTACGACGTATCGGAAATAAAAAATGTACGATAATTAAAAGTAAACAAAATGCGAAAACAAACAATAGCGGACCACCTCGTTGACGAAGTATACGAATGGTAGATGGAGAGGAAGAGCGAGAGTGAGAGCAAGCGAGAGAGAGATTGCCGATCGTTAGGATCGGTTAGGCTGCTTCACGGTTGGTGCAACGAGTACTTTTATCGGCGAGCGTAAAGCAAACCACCGAGTTCTTCCCCCGTGGTCACAAGAAGTAAAAACGCGCCAAACACGGTCATGCGGCGAGACAGCAGCGATACAATGGAGAGTGCGACGTGTTGAAGAGGCGGTAAAAAGCCAGGATCTGTGATCTCTTCGCGTGACAGATTTTCTTTCGAAAATTCTTCGCAAAAACGGAACTACGCAATTCGTAATTAAAATCGATGTTAAAGTACCACGAACGCTGTGCGTTCTTTTAGCAAGGAAATGTAACACCTAAACGAACATCATCGTGACTAAATTTCGCTTCGAAATTTACAGAAGTGATACAGATGTGATTCTGAGTTTCTTTAAAAAGAAAAACCCATGTGAGGAATATGCAAAGAAGTGTTTCTCAGTGTTCAAGATTCTGAAAAGTGCGACACAATCGGCAGCCGTATATCTCGCAATGACCACCTGTATCCAAGCGGGAGTCGAGTTTTCGCGGCGAGCGAGAGAAATAGCGATCGTCCTGACAGACGGTCTGCTCCGGGCGGCACGATTTCCTCAGCCGGTCTATCGTCCGTCTCGCTCCTTCCTCGACTAACGGTGTGCGCGTGTCTTACAACCGTAAGGCAAGCACACCGCGCGGCAGGCTATCTCTATTTATCTCGGCGGCAGGAGATAGCGATGTTGCCGATGCTCGGCGCCTCCGCGCGCGAACGCACGCTCTCGGAAATGGCTCGAGTCGAGCCGAGTAGTGCCGAGACAGCCATGCGGCAACATCGCGCCCGCAGAATGCCTCTCCTTAGACTTTCTTCTCTCTCTCTCTC